GGCTCACTGCAACCTCCCTCTCCTGGGTTCCAGCGATTCTCCTGCCTCAGCCTGGCAAGGAGCTGGGATTACAGGCTCCCGCCAGCACACCTGGCTAATTTTTGGGCTTCACCATGTTGGCCAGACTGGTCTCAAACTCCTGACTTCAGGAGATTGCAGGTGTGAGCCACCGTGCCTGGCTTGTTTTAATTATTAAATTATTCTTTTTTTTTTTTTCTTAGAGTCTAACTCTGTTGCCCAGGTTGGAGTGCAGTGGTGCGATCTCAGCTCACTGCAACCTCTGCCTCCTGGGTTCAAGAAATTCTGCCTCAGCCTCCCAAGTGGCTGGGATTACGGGTGTGTGCCACCATACCAGGCTCATTTTTGTATTTTTAGTAGAGACAAGGTTTCACCATGTTGGCCAGGCTGGTCTTGAACTCCCGACCTCAGGTGATCCGCCCGCCTTGGCCTCCAAAGTGCTTGGATTACAGGCGTGAGCCACCACGCCCGGCCCTATCCTCTCTCTTTCTTATTTTTTTGAAACAGCCTCACTGTTTCCCAGACTGGAGTGCAGTGGTGGACTCGTGCAGTCATAGTTCGCTGCAGTCTCTACCTCCCAGGCTCAAGCGATTCTCCCACCTCGGCCTCCCCTGGGACTATCAGTGCATGCCACCACACTGGCCACCTCCCTGTTTTTCTTTAGCCTTGGCTTGACGTTTTTTGTATGCTACCAACACTTGCGTCCCCGGGGCTAACGGCACAGTACAGCATCTGCCACTAACAAATATACAAACACACACTGTCTAGTATATCTGTATAGATTCCAAGGACCCTTCTGGAATATACTGATTTAGAATTATCAGGGAGGTCTAGGAATCAGTGTTTTTAAAAGCGTGACTTTTTTTGATGTTTAATATCTCAACCTCCATAAATGTGATCATCCAGGTAGTCACCACTCTGCCACCTTAAGCCACTCTAAATATATAGCCACTTGGCAGCAGATATGTGAAGATTGGAGGGTCTGGGTGGAAGGAGACTCAACAGTTTGGTTTAAGAACCCTCCACCTGAGTGCCTGAAAGAAGCCCTTACATATCTGAATTACTCAGCAATTACTTATATTGTCAAACTTAATTAGAAATGGGAATTTATTGCATGATATTCTATTCTTTTTTTCCTTTTTGTTTTTATTTTGCCCTTTT